GAGTGGCCACGTAAGCAAGACGAAGCTACCCACGCTGCTGCAACTCTCGAGCAAGGAAGTAGCGTAAAGCAATGTGCTTTGTTCTGTGCTCCAGTCTGTGCTCCTGACACAAGGCTAGCATGGCCTTGTTGTCAACGCACAGAACTGGAGGAGAACGAGGCGCCTCTCCCAAGTCGTTCAGTAGGTAGGTGAGCCAGCGTAACTCCTGTGCAGCCATGGCCCCAACGTAGATCTTAGCCTCACAACTGGAGCTGAGAACAGAGGACGAGCGGGTAGACCGCCACAAAACAGAGCCGGAACCAAGGCTGAAGGTGTAACCCTGTGACGACCGCTGCGTAGCCAAGTCGTCAACCCAAGACGCGTCTGCGTGACCAGTGAGGACAACTCGAGCCCGTCCTCCAATCACGAGCCCCATGCCCGACGTACTGCACAGGTAGCGCAACACCCTCTTAGCTGCATCCATGTGCTCTAGTCGGTGTCTCCTAGGAGCAACATAGCGTGCCAAGATGCTAAGAGGGTATGCCAGGTCAGGTCGAGTGCAGGTCATCAGGTACATGAGGCAGCCCACAAGCTTTGGGTATGGGCCACTCGGCCATACGGACTCATCCGAAGGCAGAGCTGAGAGCGAGTGGCGAGTAGACAGAAGTCGACAAGCTCAGCAACTAAGGCAGGCGCAGCAGTGGACTCAAAGGAAGGGTCAGTGACAACAGTGGCCAGGAGACGCGTGACAGTAGGACTAGCAGCACGAAGGGAGTCAGACACCGGGTCAGTAAGGGCAAAAAGAGAGGACGCAGGAGGAGACGGCAGAGGAACACGCTGTGGAGGAGTGGAAGGACGCAGAGCCATCTGGTGCGTGCCAGGGACAGGAGGAGGACGCTCATGCGGAGCACGACGACCAGTGCGAACAACGCGAACAGGCGACGCAGGACGAGACTCAGGCTCACGACGCTCCGTAAGACCTCCTGTCGGACCAGTGTAAGGAGAAAGAGCAGGCAATGGGGAGGCCGGCTGGAACTGTGACTCGGACTGGACAGACTGTGGACACTCTACGGAAGGAGCAGGACCAGTAGAAGGCGGTAGACCAAGAACCTGCTCAAGGAGCGGAACGAAGTACGGCCGCGGCCGCGCAGCGCCTCCAGAACCAGCAGGGACAGCACCAGCACCTCCAGCGTCAGCTCCAACTCCTGCAGCACCAACAGCTCCAGCAGCACCTCCAGCTCCAGCACTTCCAGCTCCAGCACCTCCAGCAGCTCTAGCTCCAACAGGACCACCGGAAGCCCCAGCAGCCCCAGCAGCGCCAGGGCCAGCACCTCCAGCAGCACCGGGTCCAGTAGTACCGCCAGCTCCAGCACCTCCAGCAGCTCCAGCCCCAGCAGCACCACCAGGCCCAGCAGCTCCAGTACCTCCAGTACGAGCACCTCCGTGACCAGTGGCTCCAGAACCCCCAGCAGCTCCAGCAGCAGCAGGACCTCCAGCGCCCGTAGCACCACCAGCTCCAGCAGCACGGCTCCAGCGGCGAGCAAACCACTCGCGCAGCTGCTGTGGAGAGAGTGGCTCCCGCCGGGACGAAGCACCCGAAGGACCTCCAGGCGCAGCACCTCCAGACTCCACACCGCAGGCTCAGCACCCTCAGGCTCCGCACCCCCAGACTCAGCAACCCCACGCTCAGCACCCCCAGACTCAGCACCCCCAGGCTCAGCACCCCCAAACTCCGCACCCCCAGGCTCCGCACGCTCAGGCTCAGCACCCCCAGACCAGGCACCCGCAGGCTCAGCACCCCTAGCAGCACCAGAGTCAACAGCTACCTCGACAGGCTCGACTGCGTCTACCTGGGACACACCTGAGGGGGTAGGACCCTGAGGGGGGAGGGGGTCTACCGGGGGAGGACCTGGCGCGAGGAAGAGCGGCGGGGGGGGGAGGGGGGCAGTGTCAAACGATATTTATATAGTTTCTATATGTTAGTCTAGGTGTTGTACAATTTGTTACACTTGTGCTAGGACACTTGCTAGGGTTTCCTATATCTTGTTTGTTCATCCTTTTCCTTAGTCAAATTCTCACGCTAGTTAGTTCTTGACATGGTGTAGAGCTAAGCGATCCGATGGGCCCACCGCCCCGTGACCCGACCTAGCCCGAAGCGCCCTAAGGCCCGAAGCGCCCCGGTAGCCTCGTAGCCCGTGCGTCACCCGTTTTCCGCCCGTCGCGTCACCCGTTTCTGCCCCGAGCGTCACCCGTTTGTGCCCCGCTCGACTTGCCCGCCAGCCCGCTAGCGCGCGTCAGACCCGCGCGCGCAGCCCTAGACGCACGCGCACCCACGCGCACGTAAGTCGCGACCTATCGCGAGTAGGGGAGGAGCTTGCTACCCGCGCCCGTCGCCTCACACGTCGCCCATTCGAGCTGAAACCGTCGCCTTACCTGGAACCCGTCGAAACCCACCTCCCCACCGGTTAGAAATCGTTTCCACCGGTCAGAAATCGTCACCACCCGCCGCCCCACGCGTTAGCACCCTCCTCACGCCCTGAAACCGCCGCGCCACCAGTTTGCACCCTCCCCACGCCCTGAAACCCGCCCCCCACCGGTTAGAAATCGCCCTTACTCGTCGCCCGCCACCTTTCCCGCCACCCCAACCGTTAGCACCCTCCCCATGCCCTGAAACCGCAGCCCCACCAGTTATCACCCTCCCCATGACCTAAAACCGCCGCCCCACCTGGTACCCGCCACCCCACCTGTTGCCCCACCCGCCGCCCCACCTGGATAGCCTAAAACCGCCGCCCTACCTGTCACCTGCACCCTGGAAAAGCCCCCAACCGCACTCCACCGCATTCAACTGCACAGTACCGCACTCAACCGCACAGTACCGCATTCGACCGCATTCAACCGCGCATAACCGCACTCAACCGCATTCAACCACACAGAACCGCTCTCCAACGCTTTAGACCGCACCAGTCAGTACCCCTCCGCACTAGCTGTACGTACTCGACTATGTCTACCTCGCGAATCCTCACGTTTGATCCAGAGGGCCGCCCGGTCGATTTTCCAGGATGGCTTCGCAAACTTAAGCTGTACCTAGGGTCTACAATCGAGAACGACGTGCGCCTGCTGGAGCACGCCACCGGCAAGCTCGTTGCCCCGAAGGATCTCGACCCCATAGGTGCTTCCCCGTCGGAGGTGGATGAGGCTCGCTTTGAGAAGGCGCAGTTGGCGGCCAGTCGTTGGGCGGCGCGGGACGACGCTACCGTGCTCGCCATCACCGACCTCCTGCCACTGTCTGAGCAGCATCACTTCGAACAGGAGGTGACAGCCAAGAGCCTTTTCGACGCGGTAGTCAAACGGTACTCCACCCCGACCACTGCGTCCCTCGGTCGTCTTGTGTTGCCCTTCCTTTTCCCCGACCTTCCCTCGTTTACGGGCTTGATGCCCAGCTCCGCTCTGCTGCCCCTGACCCCGACCTGCTTGCCACCAATCCCCCCGCGATGTGGATGACACTGTACCTCCTTTCCACCCGCCTCCCTGACCGCTTTGCCACTGCTCGTGACCATTTCCTCACTGTTAACCCCATGTCCCTCACTATTGACCTCTTTGCGGAGAGGCTCACTTTTGTTGAGGACCTTGCCCGCTCCCTTGCTGCTGCCTCTAGTACCGTCCTCCCCCCCATCTTCGATAGGTGTGCTTCTTCGTTCCTTGCCTCTTCTGTCGACTCGGCCTCTGTTGCCACTGCATCCGAGGTTGCAGCTGTTGCCTTTGGCAACAAAGGGGGCAAGAAGAGCGGTAAGAAGGGAGGAGGTGGTGGCAGTGGTGGGGGTGGCGGAGGGGGCAGCGGTGGAGGTGGTGGAGGGGGCGGTGGTGGAGGTGGTGGAGGGGGCGGTGGTGGGGGGGGCGGCGGGAGTGGTGGTGGCGGCGGCGGAGGGGGTGGGAGTGGCAGTGGAGGAGGAGGTAGTGGGGCGTCCCAGCAGCAGCAGCCCCAGCAGCAGCAGCACCAGCAGCAGCAGCAGCAGCAGCAGCAGCCACAGCAGCAGCGGCAACAGCAGCTCCAGGGCCAGCGCCAGCAGACCCAGCAGCAGCTGTGGGGGCCGCCTGGACCAGGGAGCTCTGTCACCAGCAGCGGCCCACCCAGCTGGATGTCGCGTGGCCCGGCCCAGCACCCCCCCTGCCAGTACTGGGTGCAGACTGGGCCGCGCAGAGACCGCATCTGTGGCCGCTTTCACCCTGCGGGTCAGTGCTTTGCGCAGCTTACTGACCGCTACCGCGCCCAGTTTGGCCTCACCCGCTCAGCCCCAGACTAGGCCCCACTGGTCCACACTGTTGGCACGCAGTTGTATCGCATGTCTGCCGCAGAGTTAGACGCAGAGTTAGATAATGCTGTACGATCTACTTCTGTGATGTATGCTGATGACTCTAGTGTTGATCGTTCCGGCTATTACTCTTGTTTGTCTAGCTTAGGTGCTGTTGAGGTTGCTAGTGTTGTACCAGCTAGAGTAGCTTGCACAGGTCCGACCACCCGGCCAGTGTCCCTTTCGTTCACGCTCGACTCTAGAGCATCCAGTTGTTTCTTTCGTGACCACACCGACCTCACGCCGCTACGCACCCCAGTCATTGTCGCCTTGGCTGACCCCTCAGTGGGAGCGGTGGTTGCCCACAGCACCACTACTCTCCCGTGTCCGGCGGCTCCCTCTGGGGTCCTTACAGGTTACTACACCCCCTCGTTCTCCAGGAACTTGGTGGGTGTCAGTCACCTCCACGACCTCGGAGTAGTCACCACTTTTCCTTTACACGAGCCTGTTGCTTCCTGCACAGACGGTGTCACTGGGGCTCCTCTGGCTACTTTCCCCAGGGAGCCGGGCTCTGGTCTTTACTCACTACACTCTGGGTCTCGCCACTCTGGTTCAGGTCATGTCAGGTCAGGTCAGGTAGCTGCTGTGTCGTGCGACTGTCGGTCACTCACCCACCCGTCGGTCCTCTGGCACCACCGTCTAGGTCACCCTTCGTTCCCCCGTCTTAGTAGGATGGCACGTTACCGTCTGGTCTCCGGTCTCCCAGAGTCGCTTGCACCGCTTCCTCGCTCGCCTGCGCCGCCGTGCACTCCCTGCGTCGAGGGTCAGCAGCGCGCTGCCCCTCACTCCTCCTCGTTCCCCCCTACCACGGCTCCCTTCCAGACCCTGCACTTGGACGTCTGGGGCCCCTCCCCGGTCCTTGGCCCACGTCAGGAGCGCTACTTCCTGATTGTGGTGGACGACTACTCTTGCTACACCATGGTTTTCCCCTTGCGACGGAAGGCCGACGTGCCTACCGTTCTCGAGCCGTGGCTACTAGCGTGGGGTGGCGCCCAGGGCCTGTGTGGGCTCCGCCTACACTCGGACCGTGGTGGTGAGTTTTCTTCCACTCGCCTGGAGACGTTCTGTCAGGGTCGGGGGATCATCCAGTCTTACACGCTACCAGCCTCGCCGCAGCAGAACGGGGTAGCCGAGCGACGGATCGGCCTGGTCATGGAGGTTGCCCGGACCTCCATGTGCCATGCCGGTGCCCCCCAGTTCTTGTGGCCTCAGGCAGTCCGCTACGCCGCGCACCAGCTGAACCTGTGGCCCAGTGACGCACGGCCACGGGTGACGCCGGTCTCCCTTTGGACAGGTTCTCCGGGCGTAGTAGCTGACTTCCGTGTCTGGGGTTCTCTGGCTCACGTTCGCGCCCCTGGCGCGAACAAGTTGTCTCCGCGTACTCGTGCCTGCGTCTTTCTTGGCTTCCCTTTGGACGCCTCAGGCTGGGTGTTCTACGACCCGGTCACCTACGAGTTTTTCGCTTCTCAGGACGTCACGTTCGATGAGTCTGTCTGTTACTACAGGAGTCGCCCCCACCGAGGTACTGAGGTTTTTTCCCCCCCGCTGTTCCTCACCCTTGAGCCCCCCCCAGTCGCGCCGGTAGCCCCCCCCCCTTCGCGTCCTACCCCGTCAGGTGTGTCGCACGTCACTCCGCAGTCGTCCCCCCCGCAGCGTCCAGTCCCTGTCGTGTCTGGGGGTGCGGGAGGTACAGTTGCGGAGGGTGCGGGTACTGGGGCTGCTGGAGCTGGTGGTGTCGGCTCTGGGGGTGCAGGGGGTGTGGGCATGGAGGCCACTCCCGTGGAGGACACAGCAGCCTCGACTCGGCGGCCTCGCCCCGCGTCACCCCCTGGCTTCCCGTCCGTCCAGCAGTTCCCTCCTCGTTCTTCTCTACGGCAGGTTGCTGCGGAGCCTGGGGGTGTTCCTGCGGGAGGTAGTGGATGCCCCGGGGGTGTCGGTGGGGGAGGTGCTGGTTCCGGGGGTGCTGGAGCTGGAGGCACTGGCACTGTGGCACCTACACCGCGCGCTGTACGTTTCCTGACCCGTGAGCAGCGTCTCCTCCGGTTGGAGAGGGAGGAGCGTGAGCGGTTTGAGAGGGCACAGTAGCAGCAGCAGCAGCAGCAGCAGGAGCAGGAGCAGTCTCAGTCGCAGCGGCAGGAGAGTGTAGAGGAGGAGCCACAGCAGCAGCAGGAGAGAGCAGAGGAGGGGCCTCGACTACAGCAGCAGGTGCAGTTGCAGCCACAGCAGGAGAGAGTAGAGGAGGAGTCACGGCCGCACCAGGAGAGGGTAGAGCAGGAGCCCCGCCCGCAGTAGCAGGCCCAATTACAGACACAGCAGGAGAGAGTAGAGGAGGAGTCACGAGTGCAGCAGCGGGTGCAGTTACAGACACAGCAGGAGAGAGTCGAGGAGCCACGACCGCACCAGGAGAGGGTAGCGTAGGAGTCCCGGTCGCAGCAGCGAGTGCAGCTGCAGTCGCAGCAGGAGAGGGTAGAGGCGGAGCCACAGGAGCAGCAGCAGGGGCCGGTACCGTCGCAGCAGACGCCAGAGGAGGCGGAGCAGCGGCGACTACGACTACGCGACCTCCCCGACCCAGAACCTGCACGCTTTGTTCGTGGTCCTCTACCGTCCCCTCCAGTTCCCCCTGTTGAGTCCCTTTCCTCGTCCCAGTGGACTCGTCGTTCTCCCCTCAGTCGTGCTGTGTCCCCAGAGCGTCGTCGGTCCCGTTACCGTGCAGACGGTCCGTTCCACCTTGTTCTTCGCTCTCGTGTTTCACCTCCTCTAGTCCTTCCACAGCCTCCTGAGTCGTCACTCACTGTGCTTCACGACCCGTTGTCCGACTACCTCTGTGCCTCCCGTCCTGTCGTCTCCCGTGTTTTGTCCGCGTTGGTCACTCACCCGACTGCACCCCTGTCGTCTGTCTCAGCACTTGTTACCACTATCGCTGGCTTTGCCTCTTCCCACCGCCTGGACTACGCCGCTCACTTGGTGAGTGGCCCTGCTCGTTCTCCGTCCTCTGGGGGTGCTCCTGTCTTTCCCTTGGAGGTCCTAGAGGACAGGCAGTTCGAGCTTGGTTTCCTTGCGGCCGCTGTTCCTCATCTCTGCGCCATGCTGCTTGCCCCTGAGGGGGATCCAGACGCCCTTGACATCCCGATCCCTCGCACTCACGCTGAGGCGGTCTCGGGACCTTGGGCCTCGTACTGGATAGCAGCTGAGGAGGCAGAGATGGCATCTTATAGGTCCACAGGCACTTACGTCGACGCAGTCCCACTTCCTGGGACGAACGTCGTCAGTGGCCGATGGCTCTACAAGGTGAAGCGGCCGTCTGGATCACCACCTGTGTTCAAGGCGCGCTACGTGGCGAGAGGCTTCAGTCAGCGAGAGGGGGTGGACTTCTTCCAGACCTTCGCTCCCACCCCGAAGATGAGTACTCTTCGGGTGTTGCTGCATATTGCAGCCCAGCGCGACTACGAGTTGTACTCCTTGGAATTTTCCACAGCGTTCCTTCAGGGGAGCCTGCACGAGCAGATCTGGCTGCGTCGCCCGCCTGGCTTCACTGGCTCTTTCCCACCTGGGACCCAGTGGCACCTGCGTCGACCAGTCTACGGCCTGCGCCAGGCTCCACGCGAGTGGCACGGCACACTTCGCTCGACCCTTGCAGCGCTTGACTTCTTTCCGTCGTCTGCCGACCCGTCACTGTTCGTCCGCCGTGGCTCGACCCCGTTCTTTGTTCTTGCTTACGTTGACGACCTGGTCTTTGCCACTCCCGACCGAGACGCACTGGCCTCCGTGAAGGAGGAACTGCAGAGGAGACACACTTGCACTGACCTTGGTGAGCTGCAGCATTACCTTGGCCTGCAGATCACTAGGGACAGGGCAGCTCGCACCATTACGCTGACGCAGTCGCATATGGTCGAGCAGATCCTCACGCGGTTCCGCTTCCCGTTCTCCAAGGTACAGCTCACCCCTCTTGGTGTGGATCATGGGCTCACGGCTCCACCTTCGGACGAGTCATTTGAGTCCAGTGGTCCATATCCTGAGCTGGTGGGTTGTCTCATGTACCTGATGACCTGTACTCGCCCAGACCTAGCTTACCCTCTTAGCGTCCTTGCGCGCTTTGTTGCGCCTGGGAGACACCGACCGTCCCACTGGTACGCTGCTAAGAGGGTGGCGAAGTATGTGGCGAGTACATCAGGCATGGGACTTGTCCTTGGAGGGAAGCAGCCAGTTACACTCACAGGTTACTCGGACTCGTCGTGGGCCGACGACGCGGAGACGCGTCGGTCTACACATGGGTACTCCTTTAGTCTCGGGGCAGGCGCTGTTTCGTGGCGGTCAACTTGGGCGTCGTCCGTGGCCGGTTCCAGCTGTGAGGCAGAGGTGTACGCTGCGGCCATGGCCGCTCAGGAGATTCGCTGGCTGTCTTTCCTTCTCACCGACCTTGGTGAGCGGCCTCGCTCTCCCCCAGTCTTGTTCGCCGACAACAGGTCTGCTGTCCTGTTGTGTGAGGAGCCCCGACTGGTTGGGAAGGCGAAGCACATCCAGCTTCGTTACTTCCTTCTGCGTGAGTTGCAGCAGCGTGGCCAGGCACTCGTACAACGTGTGGTCTCTGAGGCCAACACTGCAGATATCTTCACCGAGGCGTTGCCGCCTTGTGACCACAGCGTTTCTGCACCCAGCTTGGCCTTGTGCCTACCCGTCCTCACTTGCTTACGTAGAGATTCTTTGTCCTGCTTGTTTTGTACTCCTGCATCTTATTATATTTGCTATATATCTGCTTGTGGACTGGCCTTGTGGCCCCTTGCTTGTCCTCGGAGTGTGTGGTGACTTTGAGCTCCACCCTGAGATTTGTCTTGTGACCCTTGCTCGTTCTTGCTGATTGGTCATGTGACCCTTGCTTGCTCTCAGAATCTGTGTGTCCTTGAGACCCACCCTGAGATATGTGTTGCTTTCCACAAGACTGCCGTCACTTAGACTATGGGGGTGTGTCAAACTATATTTATATAGTTTCTATATGTTAGTCTAGGTGTTGTACAATTTGTTACACTTGTGCTATCACACTTGCTAGGGTTTCCTATATCTTGTTTGTTCATCCTTTTCCTTAGTCAATTTCTCATGCTAGTTAGTTCTTGACAGGCAGTGCGGTAGGGGAAGAGACGGTAGTAAGGAACCGACTCGTCAAACGTGACGTCCTGAGAGGACAGAACACGGCGCGAGGTGGGGTGGTAAAACTGCCAACCAGGCGCGTCAGGGTGGAAGCCAAGGAAGACGCAGGGAACAGCACGGGAGGACAGCTTGTCCGCAGACAAGTCGCGGACGAAAGCTCGAGATCCCCAGACACGGAACGCAGACGCATCGCCAACCTTCCCCGTCCACCACAGAGTAGGGGAGGTCTCCGGCATGGAGACCCGGGGCTGGAGGTTGATCTGATGCTCTCCACAGAAAATGGGGAGCAGCCGCATGGATCATGGACGTACGAGCGACATCCATGACCATGCCAATGCGGCGCTCAGCAATCCCATTTTGCTGTGGAGAGGCCGGAAGCGTGAACGTCTGTCAGATGCCCTCCGCACGATAGAAGGCTCGCAGAAGGTCGGAGGAAACCACTCCACCTCTGTCGGAGTGCAGGCGCAGAACCGGAAAGTCCGAGCCGAAACTCTCTCTGAGCTGGAGACGGGCAGCGCGGATCCAGTCGATCAACACCTCAGTGACCTCACCCTTGCGGCGCAAGGGGAAGACTGTGGTGTAACGCGAGTAGTCGTCAACAAGCAGCAGAAAGTAACGCTCGTGACCCTGTCCACGGACGCGGGCTGGGCCCCACACGTCCATGTGGAGAGTCTGCAGCGGAACCTCTGTCGGAGGAAACTCGGAGGTGTGAGGAGTGGCACGCTGCCGGCCCTGGACACAGGGAACACAGGTAGGGGCAGGCCCCGGAGGAATGGGAGGGAGGGACCGGGGGAGACCAGAGACAAGGACACAGGAGGCCATGCCTCGGAGACGAGGCAGGGAGGGGTGACCAAGGCGGTGGTGCCAGAGGAGAGTCTGGTGAGACAGGAGGCGACACGAGCAGGGGGCAGACTCAAGACCAGACCGGGACGCTGCAGCAAACACCTGACCCGACGCAGCTACCTGACCAGACTCAGCAACCGGAGGAGACGCGGTAGTCAGGGTGTACAGGCTCGACCCAGGCTGACGGGTGAACGTGGCCAGGTGCCGGCCCGTCCGAGCACACAACAGTGGGTCACCCGCTGACCTCCAGGAGTGAACTGGTCAACCCACGCGTCCTGAAGGTCAGCTCCACTCACCAAGTTCGTGGAGAACGAGGGGAGGTGGAGGCCAGACAGTTAGCCAGACGGGACCCCCAGACACGGCAGAACCGTGGAGGAGTGGGCAAGGTCCGGACCCCCAGAGGGGTCAGCCAAAGAGACTGCCACCGGCCGACTGAGCGGCGAGAGTGTGGTGCAGTCGCGAAAGAAGGAGTGGGAAGCACCTGAGTCAAGGGTGAAAGTGTGCAAGACCTGAGCCGACACGGTACCTGAGAGAGCAGCCTCACCAGCACCTGGAGAAGCAGACTCACTAGCACCTAGAGCAGCAGCCACACCAGTACCTCGAGAAGAAGACGCACTAGCACCGAGAGCAGCAGCCTCACCAGCACCTAGAGCAGCAGACTTTATACCTGGGTCAGGCGGTACGCACAGGTAACAGGCACCTTCAGTACTAGTAGGCAATGCATACATGGCAGTGAGGATAGCATCATAGTCAAGAGCAAAGATATCCACCCGCTGCCTAAGCAGCTCCACGCAGTCGGGGAGCTCAGCCTCGTCGCCAAACTCGGTACGCCAGGCGTCGCTCAGACAGGCGAAGCAGCGGGACTGTGTGTGACCAACCGTCCCGCAGGCCTGACCAGCCCGATCACCTGTGCGAATAACGTACGGGCAGCGAACGGTACTCCGAGACCCTCTACTCTGAGCGTACTACTCACGAAGCTGCTGGGGCGTAAGTGTCTCGCGCGGACGCCGCTGCAGCTGCATCTGGCCACCGCCAGACGCTCCCGACTGACCAGCTCCAGGGCGACATGAGAAGAAACAAGGAATGAATGAACTATGAAT